TGAGCTTTTTTTTTCTTAATTTAGGTCAAATTAAGCTCACCTAAAACCTGCTTTTCCTGTCATGAGTTGTGGGGAACTACAATTTGAATCAGGTATTTGGATGGTGGACATATGTTGTGACTTTAACAACAAATTTCTTGACAAATCACAGACCTGGTACAAGTGTTCCAACCCCACCCAGCTTCCCGACTCTCTGCTCTCTTCAGCCTTAACTACATCACATGGGTGAAAGCATCGGGCTCCAGCCTCAAATATTAAGACAAACGGATGTCACTTTCAAGAGCATTAAATATAATAGAAAATCCATGGAGGCAATTGAGGGACTTCTCTTCCAGAGAAGCTGTTGTGTCAGGTAAAGAGGCTGCAGTAGATCAGCCTGCTCCGCCCCTCAAATAGATAATCAATTTCCCTGAAAGCATCAATAATCAGAGTGGACATTTATTGCCCCTCGGATGGTTTATCTCTGGGGCTGGGGCAGCAGGGCTATGATGAAATACCAAATCTGCCAGGAAACACAATTAAATGCTGTATGGATAAAGGATTTTATACCATGCACCCAAAAAAGCAATCAGATTCATAATTGAGCTCTATGGGATGAACCCAGTCAGAAATAAATATCACACCCAAAAGACTATAACTTGAGTCCTGGTGTCAGGCAACATTGTTGCCAATATGTTGTTTGTTTAGGGCTGTAGCCTGGCCTACCCCCGCCTGCAGGTGTGACTGCATCCCTCGAGCCTCCCACCCCTTGCTCTGGGCTGGCGCTGGAGCTTCCTGTTTTCTTGGAGAAGGAAAAACGCATTTCTGGTCTGCATTAACTCAGACTTTGAGGAGGACTGTATATACTCACCTTCGTGAGGCATCCTCGCAGTGAGGCCGAGCGATACGGGCCAAGGTTGGGATAGAAAATGCAGAGGCACACGGGACCAAAGAAAGAATTCCACGGGACGCAGGGACAGTCTGAGGGCTTGCTCCCCTTCTCTCAGGTATCTGGGTGACCCGAGCTGGCCTAGAGAGGAGCTCTAAGGGAGGTCTCGGTTCTCAGATTGTTGTCCCCAGAGACGTTGCTGCCTCCTGCTGGAGTCAAATCCTAGGGACTCTGATGGAGTCAGAGACAACGATTAAAACTGCCCCCCCCCTCATTACACCGTTGTGTCTCTCCTTGGGCGAGGGCGGGGGCGGCAAAGGGATGGGAGGGCATCTTTGGTCTCAGTTCAGGTCTACTTGGATCAGGAACTCGATTTTCAAAAGAACCTTGAGAACGTTAGAGTTTAAGGTCATGTACACTTGGCAGAATATGGCTTTTAGTTTGGAAGGGGGAAAAAAGTATAAAGGGCATTTTGGATACAAAATAGCTCTTTAAAACAGCATTTTGATGAGTTAAGTATAAATAAATCAGAAACACACGGATTTCATTTCCTTTAAAATACCCGCGGGCTCAAACACTAGCGGGAAAAGTGCCTGGCAAACGGCGGTTTGGGATTTTGACAAACCCAAATATTTTGGAGAGGTTTCTGAGCTGCTTGCACCCGGTCTCCTCTTAGCCCTGCCTTTTGTGAGTGCCCAGCTGCCCCTGGGGGACAGGTCCAGCGGAGGCGGACTGCTCAGGACTGTGTTTCTAAAGGGTAACCAAGATATGTTTAGGTATGCACAGTGTGGGCGCTTGCGTGTTGGTGTGTACAAGTGCTCAGAGGGAGGAGAGGCTTTGCAACTTCGTTTTGGTTGGAATGGAAACACACACACACATACACACACACACACACACACACACACCCTTCTTGAAGGCTGAAATAAGGCTCTGTCTGAACTTGTATAAGGCCTGTGGTGGTGTCTGCTCAAGGCCCAAACCTCTGGGTTCCTATCAAGAGATTTCACCTCGGAAGTGTCAGTCACGGGGCACGGATCCTGCAGATGGAGCCACCAGGATGGCCAGGTGTGTGGGCAGACCCACAGCAGCTGCATCCCATGGCAAGTAACTCTGTCACCTCTACAGGAACCTATCTGACTAGGTGAGGGCTGACTTACCTGTCCTTGTGGCTCGGTATGATCCCCACTGTAACCCAGGTCCTTGTCCGGCTACATTAGGATACACATTAGTCTGACAAACTTGTGCTAAGAAAGCCTAGAATTGTCTTGATGAGGCCCAGTGTATGGCTGTCTCTTAGGACATAGGGACACCAGCTTTCTCACTTTCCCCAGTAGCTCAGACACCTACAGGTAAGACTTCACACAGCTAACTATGAGCTGCTCAGAATTCGGATCTGCCACAAAGTGCTGAGGGTGCTGCTCAGACTGGTGGAGCTCACCCTGTAGTTTTACAAATAAAATTTAGAGGCATCCAAGGGGAAGGTGGAAATGTCATCTGCATCACGGGGCTTTCTGGAGAACCACCTGGAGTGACATCATTCAGTCAGGGGTTCTTTACTGAGCGTGCTGTGCAGACACACCCAGGGTCTCACTCGAGACCCCTGAAGGAGCAGACAGGCAGTGCTCTTATCTGAGATCTGGTCCATCGCGGTCGGCTCTGTGTCTCGCTGAGAGACATAAACAGAAAAGCCACTTGGCAGTGGTTGCCTGAGACATCTTTCTCTCCACAATGTTCCTTTTGGCATCTGATTAGAAAAAAAAAATCTTGTAATCAATACCCAAAGTTGGATTTTGAGATTTTCTGCAGGATTGGGCTTGGAGCATTTAATAACAAGGTTCCTTACTATACTCAGCCTCTAAATTTATAACAAAAACAAATATTTCCCCTTCCTGACGCAGAAGGCCATGCCAACGGCATGGAGGAGCCTGGATGCAAGGGAGGAAGCAATTGGATCCGCTTAAACGCCACAAACATAACCCCCCAGCGCTTCTTAGCAAGACCAGGTCCCTTAACGGGGACCCCGGGGAACAAGAACATTCCGGCTAATCTCCGACCACTTCTCCTAATTGTGCGATGTTATGCGCTAATCAACAGCCAATGCCTTTTCTCTGTAAGACCAAGACAAAGCCTCAAATTACTAATTACACAAATACAGTGTCTTTTGCTAATTGGATTGGTTAATGTTAGTTCATAAAGCTCTTTAAGGATAGGCAGTGTGGTATGAAAGAGGCAATTCATACGTTTAATAACAGGCTAATAACTGTCAGCGATGAATAATCAGCTGTTGCCGCGTGTGCGGAACGTCCTGCGCTCTTTCCAGCTTTTTGTGCGCCTGTTACAAATTAATGCCTTTGCAAGAGCCAACTGGTATGTCAAACCCCTGTCTCCCGCCGCTTGCGTCCCCACCTTGCCTCTGGCCTGTGAGCCTTGGAGCATATGCCTGGCCCCAAACGTGGTGGCCGTGTGGGGAGTTGGTTCTCCTTCGTAAAATGGACCCCTGTTACTCCTATTATTTATGAAAGAGCGGGACGATTAGGGACAGGAGCCAGGTCCTGAATCCTTGTCCTAAGGCCACAGACTAAGCTGTTTTACTCAGTGACCCTGGGCAAGCTCCTTGACCTTCACAGGCCTCAGTCAACTCAGCTGGAAAATTGGGTAAAAAGATTGTGGTGGCTCTGAGCACAGAGCTGCAGAGTGGAGGCGCTGGGTGGAGCAGACCAGGGTGCGGGCAGCCACTGTGGCTGGGACTGACTTCCTCTAGAGAAGCCAGTGCTGAAAAGACTTCTGAACCCAAGGTCCTGCTTGGTAAATTGCAAAGACCAGAGTCCCCAGCCCCTTGCTCTTACTTTACAGTCTCATTGAGCCTCAGACTCAAGGTCACCATAAGATATTAGAAAAACAAGAGGCAGTAACTCTGTTGTGAGAATCTTCCAGGAGAGCCCACGTTCTTGGGAGGGCAGGTAATGGCCCCAACTTGGGAAATTTTCCTCCTTGTTCTTAGGAAGCTAATAAGGGAGCTAGAGAGATGGCTCAGCAGTTAGGATTACTGACTGATTTTCCAGGGGACTGGGGTTCAATTCCCAGCACCCACATGGCAGCTCACAACCATCTGTAACTCCTGCTCCAGGGGCTCCGGCACCCTCACACAGACATCCAGCATGAAAAGCACCAGTGCACATAAAACTAAAAGAAATATATAATTTTAAAAGAAGAAGCAGCTGTTCCAGTCTGCGAGTGCAGCTGAACCATCAGGTGTGTCCCTCCTCCCGCGTGTGTGCAGGTGTGGGCTTCCTGCTGTATTCCAGGGTTTTTTTTTCTGTTTTATCTGAGTATGTGTTTCCATCAGGAATGGTCTTTAGGACAAAAGGGAGTCTTTCCACGGGTCACACAAAACAGGAAGCGTGCTCAGGGGATGAGAAACGAGCTCAGGAGGGAACGTGAGCTATTCTGTTCTCCACGAGAGTGGCTCATACTGGAGGCTTCTGCTGTACTCTGCAGAGGTGACTTTGAGACCAGGTAGCCCAGAGGAAGTCCCTCACAAGCCATGGTTTACCTTAAAACTTTTCAACTTTCTGCTGACACAAAACACTGTGTATCCAGCAGAACTTCAACTTTGAATTCTGCCCTTTAGCTTTTCCAGGGCCAGTCACACACAGCATGATCCTTTCTCATGGTGTGGGGCAGCCACTGCCCCTAGGAAGCTGTACAATCACGGGGGAAACAGCCGGCATTCTGTAGCATGCTATGCTGTGCCGCTAAGCTGGGATGTTCAGAATGTGAGGTGTTGTCAATGTGTCTTTGATCTGTGGTATTTTCAATTTAGGATGATTTATCTGGACATGACCCCATACCAAGACCAGGACCATCTTTGTAGCAGCTCATCATAATTAACACTGTTAGATCAAAACAAACAAAGTGGCTATAAAGAAAAAGGGAGTATTTCATCCCTCCCAGTAAGCTCTCCATTACTATGGCTCCTCTGTCCACTCCCAAGAGGAGGATCAGGCTGAGAGGGTGTCACAAGAGAGGCAGGGGCAAAGCCTAAAAGGTCTTCATTGGCTCCTTCCTCCATCCCAAAAGCTTTAGAAGATACAGCTGGCCCAACTGTGGACCCAAACCAGGTGGAGGCAACTCGAGGCTTTGAAGATGTCTGGCCCTCAATGGCTTCAGGTGTCCTTTCCCGGGTGGTTCCTTCTCGTTAGACTCCGTCCTTCCATGCTCACCCCGATTTCCTGCACCTCTCGCTGTCTCTCTGTGCATGGAGTGTGCTGGGCCATCGCCTTTCTGCCCACACTTCCCAGACTCTCTCATGATTCACGGTCGGACAGACTTGAGCTATCTTTTCAGTCCTGGAGAAGAACAAATAAAGGAAATGACCAAACAAACAAATTCTCCTGGCTCTGGGGTCAGGGTTTTCAAATGCTATCTGTGCCTAGCACATCTTCCTCTGAAGCCGAGCCTCCCTGATTCAGATATCCCTTCTGGATTGAATGCACCGTTTCTGCTGCGCTCTTGGGAGGAGACTGGCCCCGCTGGCTGTAGGAACAGTCACTTCCGTGCACACAAAGGTGACAAGAGGCAGAGCTCTGAACCATGCAGAGAAGAGGCTGACATGTTCCTGATGGCCTTTGTCACTCACAGAGTGGCCTATGTAGAGGATCTAGAAGTTGGGCATGTGAGCTGGTCCTCCTCCTGGGCTGACAGGGCTCATCCTCAGTCTTTCTGCAGACAGGTGATGATCTGTGGCTGCAGCGTGCCACTGGGTGCGATGACTGGGCAGAGCAGATTACCATCTAGACCCAGAGGTCTGTGAACTCAGCGGCCTATCGGCTCCTTCCCACATGTGTCTTCTGACCCTGGCATCTGGAGGCAAGCCGGGGAAGGAAGGATGAAACGGTCTTGTCTTGTCAGAACCAGAGAAAGATGGGAAGGCCGCAGGCTCGGGTGTTTTCCTACGGCACATGGGCAGCAGGTGAAGCTTGCCTGTGCTCCCAGGCTCTTCCAGAGAGCAGCATCCTACCTCGGTGATGCGGCAGGCACAGAAAGAGACACAAGGAGTAAAAGCCACGCTCCACGCTGTCCGGCGTGGTGTTAGCGCCCTGGGTGTCTGGCTTATATTAACTGTGTGCTTCTGATGTCGAGTCTTGAGGCAGGAATCCTTGCTGTCTGCAATGGTCCGAGATCCCTGGATCCCCACAGGGTTGTCACAGAATGAAGCTCATGGGGAGGGGAGGGACAGGGACACCTATTATAATTCACCGCAACAACCTGACAGGCAGGCATTTCTCCTCAAGGAGGGGGCAGAAGGTCACTTTGAAAGTCGCTCCAGATTCCCAAGTGTACCCAGGGCTCCCCTGAGACTTGTTTTTGAAGTAGAAAACAAGAAGCCCCGCCTCCTAGTTCCATGGTCACCTAGGCCAGAGTTTCCACCAGTTCTGACCTCTGGACTACAAGACCTAGGCCTGAAGAAGGGACCTCCCTCCCCATCTCAGAAAGTCACGTGACTCCAGGTAAACTTTAGGATTTCCCTTGGGATGGTTGTTTGTGTGTCTCCCTGTTGGGAAACAAGAGATAGGGGGTGGGGGTAGCAGAGCCATTGCATACTGCTTCCAATTACCCATCTTTACACAGGGGAGGCTGCAGCTGGGGATTGTGGTCTCCCAGGTCCTGTTGGGTGGGTTCCAGCAGCTGCTGGCCAGACCAGGTGTCTCACAGCAGCCCAGACAAGGCTCCTAACCCACCCTTTCCCACCTTCCCAGAGGCAAGCAAGACCATAAGCCATCGGGAGCTGTTGTGTGCCCATGTTGTTTTTCTGCATGAGCCACCGCATCCCTGCATGGCCACTAGAAAGCCTGTGCCTACCTTTTGTCTCAAATCTAGAGTATCGGGGTCCTTTAATCTCTGTCATCTTTCTGTCAGCGGTGTGGGCCAGTGTTAATGTTCCTCTGTAAAATGTCTGTGTGCCATACACAGCCTCCTACATGTATTCTTTATTTTGCAACCCTTTGAAACCGTAAGAGCCACACTTATCTGATAGGCTGCCCCCAAGCAGACCACAGGCTGGATGAGACCCATGAGCCATAGAGAGTGGCTGGTCCCTGCCCAGTGCTGGGACAGCCAAGATGACTCCCTTTCCCTAGTCTGGGATAGAATCGCCTAGTGTAGATTAACTTCCTTAGGACTTGCTGTTAGCGTTCGCAGTCACAGAAGCAGGCCCATCTTGGGTAACAGTATTACAATTGCATCCTTTTATCTCCTTTGGCAGCTTCAATACATCTTCTAGTCTATGTTATCCCATACCACAGAGGCAGAAGAGAGGTCACAGGGACACCAAGGGTACACATGTGCATAGAGTACCACAAGTGACTTTGAGTCAGGTGTCTTGCCCCAGCCCTGTAGCCTCTCCCAGTTCTGTGAAGGTTCCATACAGGAAAGGACAGATCAAACACCAGAACTGTCTGGGGAGCCTCTGAGGGCAGGCAGCCTCATGGCGCACTTGCTGAAATCCATCAGGACTGGACAGTTTTGCACGTTCCCACAGCATTTCGCTATGCCTGATCCCAACTAGGGCAAAAAGTGGGGCACAGGAGGTCACTTGAGAACTGAAGGCAGAATGGGGTGAGACAAGCATGCCTTTCCCACCCCAAAGAACAAATCTGAGCCCCAGGACTCCTGGCTTGTATCATGGTCTTGTGGGTTCTGCAAGATCCCCGAGGCTGGAGCTTCACAGCCGTGTACAGATTCCCCCACACAGCTGTTCCTGTAATTGGGTCCCATTAGGAAAGTGTGCGGTCTTGTCTGACAGCGACTCTCAGCCTCCCTCTGCCCCCTCCCACAGTGGTCTCAAGTTAGCACTGTAGCTGTTGCCAAACCCAGACACTTGGGGCTCTGCTACCCTGCTGTCCCTTTCCAGCTACCCTGTTGTCCCTTTCCAGCAGATTGGAAACATCATCGTTTATGAGAGAGAAAGCAAGGCTCCTTACGCCCCTGTGGATGCTTTCTTCAAATAGAACCCGTTCCACAGAAGCCAAATGAGATATTGGCTCTGTGCATACCCTGCGAAGTTGGGACATGCACCCCAACCTCTCTCTAAGTCACTGCATTCTCTGGCCTAGATAACAATACTTCCTGAGGGCAAGGAGTAAGACCCAGGAGTGGCACCTGAAGACGGGGGAGCCATCACAGCTGTTAGTCTACTTGATACTTTGTTATAGGTGGGAATGGGAACAGCTAACCTCCACGGCTGCCAGTTTGCAGGAATTGAAAGCGAGCATGGACAAACTTACAAGGAGAATCATTAGTGTGATAAATGTAGGTGAGAATTTATAAGGAAAAAAATGTGGCCGGATTTTTTGGGGGGGAGGCGTTATAATAGGAACATCTGTGGTAGTGTTCATCTCCCTCCATCTCCAGAATGCATTATTGCCCCCTTCTCTTTTTGTGTATGTGTACATCTTCATGTATGTGTGCAAGAGTGTGTGGTTGCAAATGCAACATATATGCACTGACATTTAGAGGCCAGAGGTTGGCATTGGGTATCTGCCTCTATTGTTTGCCACCTTATTTTTTAAGGGAAGGTCTCTCACTGAAGCTTGAGCCTGCTGATTTGTCTAGATTGGACAGCCAACAAGCCCCAGGGATCCTCCTGTCTCTGCCTTTCCAACATTGGGATTCCTGGTGAAAAAGTATGTGTACGCATGTGCCGGCATGCAGTTATGTGTACCACATGCATGCAGGTGTTTGGGGGGGAAGGGGGCAGAAGTCTTTGGATCCCCGGAATTGGAGTTACAGGCCATTGTGAGCTGCCTGATGTGGGTTCTGGGAACCAAACCCGGGTCCTCTGCAGAAGCAGTAGGTGTTCTTTACCACTGAGCCATCTCTGCAGCCCCTGCACTCGTCTTTTTGTGTGGGTGCTGGGAATCTGAACTCAAGACTCCAAATGGGTGCTCCAAACAGTTTCCCAATTGAGCTGCCCCCCCCCCTTTGCTACTGTTTGTCCTTTCAAAGAGAATCTAAATTTGCTTCACTTTGATTCACTCCCACCTGCAGGTAATGAATGGTTGCCTCCAACCCCAGTGAGGCAGTTATGTCACAGCCCCAGAAGGGCCGAAACGCCGGGGGTCGAGCCCCGGGGGCCTCCGGATGTTGCAGTTGCGTGACAGAGACTCCATCAAAGGAGATCTATGAGCTTTCTATTCACTTACGATTATTAAAGATCGCCTTAACAAACAAGCCATCAATAAGTGGGGTCAGGTTGAAGTGCATTAATATAATTCTATCAATATTGAGGTTATTTCTATAACTAGACAGGTTGAAAATGAAAGACGAATGCTTGCGTGGAGCCATTAGTTAGCCTGGCGATTCGTTTTTCCCCCACGGAAAAGGAAGCAAAATGCCCTCAGGAAACAATGAGGCCCAGGTCTGTAGGGCCACTGTGGGTCTCTGTGGGGCTGTCAGCACAGATCCCGGTGGCACCTGTGGTAGCCACCCTCTGCCCTGGGTGATGTCTTGCGCTCGTGGGAGCATTTCCAGAGCTCTCTAAGTAAGGTGGGAGAATGGCAACGAGGGTTCTAGGACTGTGAGCCGAAAAGAACTGCCTCTGGGTTTGTGATGGATGGTGCCTTGTGATGGTTCAAGTAACCAGGGGCTGAGTAAAGAAAGGAGGCATGAGTGTTCCTGTCTGGGGCCGACACAGACATTTGTTCTTGGGGCTGGGAGTGCAGGTCAGCATAGAGTACTTGCTTAATGTGGTTCTAACACTAGCATCTAAGAGTGGAAAGGGGGGTGGGGAAGAGAAGACAGGTAGAAAGGAAATGAAAAGAAAGGAGAATCCGTGGGGATGGGTGTGAAGTACACACTTGTCTCCACACATCGTGCTGGGTGCATAGAACATCCAGTTCCTATAGGGCTGGACCTGTCACTAGTGTTTGCAGCAACATAGGTTCTCATGGTCCCCATGAATATCCAGGAGTGGCTGTCAATACAGACCTAGCCTGTGGTAGTGTAGTGTCTCTGGGGCCTCATGTCTGCTATGTCCCCGCCTGGGTTCTTTCTCTGCCCGTTGTCTCTTCCCCTCTGGGGTAACTCACTGCTCTAACTAGAGTGCTCTAACCTCTGCTGTTTATCACTGGGGCTGGTAAGCACTGGGGGAAAGATGCTGGACAAGGGAGTAAGGGTTGAAGGGTCAGGGTCAAGGGTCAAGGTAATGTTCCCATCTTTTGCAACTGATGGCTTTCACCCATACCAGTCTGTGTCCCTCTCCTCAAAAGGACAACTGTAGGGATGGAAAGTGAAAGTCCTTGTAAATGCTCCCCCCGTAGGTGGTCAGCCCGGGCCCAGCCTTCAATCTGCTTTGGCATAGCAGAGCTTCAAGCAGGAGACGGTCAACGTCAAAGGCAGACCTCTCTACCTGCTTGTTGCCTCGGCCTCAGGAGCAGGGTGTCAGGTCCTGCGAAGGCCTGGGCCACCAGCTGCCCAGGTTCCTAATAAAATCCAGCTCCTCATCCAGCCTGCAGGCCTTTCAGCAAGGCAGCATCTCTGTCAGTGTGGGAGGGGGCTCTTCAGCTCCTCCTCCACCTTTGCTGGTTCTCTGCTCACCATTCCTGCTCACCACCTCCTCCCTATGCCAACCCTGCCCATGTTCGCCCCTCCCTCAGGATCTCTGTATCAGGAAACATCCGGGTTCACTGGCCCTTCTTGCTGATGTTAACTGTTGGTCTAAGTGTAAGGAGTCACTGTTCAGTGCGTTACGGAGTAGCTCCAAGTCACTTTCTGTGAGGTGGTATAGACAAAGGTACTCCATGACTACCCACAGACATGGATGAGAAGGGGCATTGACCCAAGACCCACAGAGACCCTGTAACCTTCAGATCTGATCACTCCACAACAGGCAGCCACAAGCACCAGGCAGCCTCTGCTGGACAAGGTGTCGGACAGTGCCATTGCAGGCCCAGAACCGCCAGTGAACAGAGTGTTCTTGGATCGTCCGAGGGCAGCCAACCCATGCCCAGGTTCTGAGTCTGCATCACAGTGCTGGCCTGGCTGCATAGGGCAGGTCCGTGCCTAAGGGAAAATGTTAAATGTTTGGGTACAGGACTGAGTGCCACTGGCCCCATCAGGCCCCATCAGGCCATGCAGAAGGCTGGGTACACCCCATCCAAGCCATGAAGGGTGTGGGATATGGGTTCCACCACACCCTTCATGAGGAATGGGTTTCACAGGGGACTTCTGAGAAAACCAGTGCCTCTCCTCACACAGAGCTAGGGGCCAAGCTGCCCAGGGTCTTTGGCTAGCCAAATAGGACGGTTCTGGAAGGTAGGGTGATGTCAGCATTCCCCTGGGACTGGTCTCTCTGAAGGAACTCTAGCAGGAGAGTTAGGACATGCCCCTGAGGACAGGAGGGCTGACTGAGTGCAGACAGGCAGACAGGCGTGGAGACCTCTCTGCATTTTAGGGATGGGCTCCAGAATGGTCCTCTACTGTTGCGCTAGACTGTGTAAATATTTTTCTTAGGAGAGAAGAGAGAGCCCCCATTCATTAGACAGCTCTCGCTTGCAGGAACTGAGACGTATCTGTTTAGGCATAAAAGCTAAAAACAGTGCCCACCGCTCTTTTAAAAAAAAATCATTTCTGCAGCTCAAACATGGCCAAGCTTATTTTTTTTCAAACGCAATAAATAAATAAATATGACCCCACTCTCCCAGCTGAGAGCACAGGAGTTGTGTCAGCACGGCCAGATCCTTTGCTCTGGAAGCCAGGACTGGCCTGGGGATTCAGAACATCTCAGGGTTCCCACTAGAACTGCCAATGGCTGTGTCCCAGCTCAGCTCTGGCCAACGCTCCAGCTATGGGGATTGTCCCTCTCCTAGGGAGATCCGGACAGCCATCAGGTGTGGGACCTGTCAGAAGGGAGAGACACGTGGCTGTTTTCTTCAAAGGTGTCTGTCCCTGCAGAGCCCATACAATATAGGGACAGAGGCTCATGTGCCAGCATTTCTTGGCCTGCCCGCCATTTCTTTGCCTTTCTTTCCATGTTTTCAAACCCCCTCCCCCCCGCCCCCCGTTCTGTTTCCTGGTGATAGAGCCTGGATCAGCTACCTCCAGGCTCTTACATGAGGGAGGCTGTCCCAGAAACGCCAGATGATGACAGCTGCTGATGTCATTATAGTCACCCTTGATGAGGTGCTCGTGCGCCATTTATACCAGGCAAGATGTCAGGACTGAACTGTTGGTCTGGGAGAAAAATGAAGGGAGAACACTATTCTTTAAGAAGTTCACCTTCAAGCTGGGCAGTGGTGGTGCAAGTCTTTAATCCCAGCGCTTGGGAGGCAGAGGCAGGTGGATCTCTGAGTTCAAGGCCAGCCTGCTCTACAAGAGCAAGTTCCAGGATAGCCAGGGCTACACAAAGAAACCCTGTCTCAAAATACCAAAAGAAGAAGGAGAAGGAGAAGGAAGAGGAGGGAGAGGAAGAGGAAGAGGAGGAGGAGGAGGAAGAAGAAGAAATTCACCTTCAGCCGGTAAAGTTCTTGCTGCGTAGATATTAGGGCTTGGGTTCACTCTCCCGGAATTCACCTAATGACAAAAACGTCTATACATGGTGGTACATATTTCTAATCCCTGTACTGGAGAGAGAGAGACAGGAGGGTACCTAGAACCCACTCACCAGCCCATCTAGCTGAATTAGTAAGTTCCAAGCCAATGAGAAGCATTAACCTTAAAGTGCGTGTAAGCCCATTTTCCGTCATCCCAGAAAGAAGGGTATTCCTCTCCAAAGACTAGCTGGGCTCTCATCAGGGTAGCCATATGACATCCTGTTCTTCAGCTTCTGAGCTTGTGAGTAGAAAACTCTGCTGTCAGGGCAGGCCTCATAGAGCTCAACACTTCTGATGATGGGAAGGTCAACAGCCACCATTATGTGTCATCGCTCAGATTGTCCCCCAAACAACCCTGAGCCCACAACCTCCTCCAGTCATCAGGCAAGGCTCAAAGCCAGGATAGGATGCTTGGGAGTCCCTTCGTAACATCACAAGTACTCTGCCCTTCTCCCCACTCAGAAGAGATCCGATAATCAACTTCCTGAAGGTTCTGGACTCACACACAAATCCTCAGATCCAGAGAAACTACTTCAAAAACAGATAAGAAAGAAATATGGTCTAGAGAGACACGGGCTGTGTACAAAGGCCTGAGGACAGCCCAGAGCAAGCCAGACTGTGCTCCCCACTCTGGCGGTTTTGGCTTTGGAGTGGCCTTATGTTGGGGCTCATGTTGGCTTTCTCCCATAGGTCTGCTCCCAGATTCTTTGAAGGGAGAGACGCCTTCTGGGATCCATTTATGACACCAAACAGAAAGTCGGCCCCCTTGGGGGACATGCCAGAGTTTTGGAGCTGTGAGCCTATGAGATGTCTGTATGTGTGTGTCTACGCCTCACCAACCTCTTGGAGAACAGAGGGTATTTATTTTAAGAGTCAAAAAAGATGTTTTGAGCAACCCCACTTAGCTAAATCCTGGCACCGATACTCGAGAGAGAAGCTAAATGCCGGAGGTCAAACCTCGCTTTTTTGGCTAAAATGTTCAATCAAAACACACCTAATACTTCTGCTGGGGTGTGGGGGAGACGTTGAGAGCCTGGGGCAGCCATTGCCAGCAGTCGGCAAGCCGTCAGTACAAGCGCTGAGGCTGAACTAGCAACATAAAGAGGGTTTTCAGTAAACGGCAACCCAGCCAGCAAGGAAGCCAAGGCTGAGAGGCTCCGGAGTGTGTCCGGCGGTCTCCACCCAAGGTCAGCAGCGGGTGAGGAGGGCCTCATTAAAGATATTTCTACCTGGCAAGGCTGCTATTAAATCGGAACCTGGCTCAAACCTTCCCTTGCAGGGGGGCTCTGGAAACTCATGAGGTGCCAGCTTCCTCTGAGGGCATGATGCTCCCTGCGCCAGCACTAGTGACTCAGGAAGCCTGCCATCCTGGTCCTCGGCAGCTCACAGTTTGTCTCAGTGCAAGCTTGCATGCCCCACAGCCCAGTGAGTATCCGCTCAACGTATGGGTGAAGAGGGCCAAGGAACAGAGTCCCAGCTCCTCTCCCCAAGGCTGGCCAGGACCCATGACCTAGAAAGCACAAGGTTCTGGTTGTTCCCTCTCACTTGGTGACTCTTGACCAAGTGAGAGTTGTAGATGAGGTCGTTGATGTCCCTTTGTGTGTCCCCATCTGATAGCGAACCCCAGGGTAGGTAGTAACAGTGCCCATAATGACATAGCCGATGGGTTAACTGGGCACTTACCCACTGCTACTTCTTAGCTTCTGATAGGGGCCCTCCTTGGGACTACACTCATCTGCAGGTCTACGGAACACAGTTTGCCTTCCCCTGAGTTAAAGGGTGACAGGCAGGTTTGGAGAAGGCTGTGTGGCCACTCACAGACTGTGTACAGCGGCAAGAAGACCCAGCTCCCCAGAACATTCCTGCTGGTTCCCAACTGAGGTGTGGGGCATAAGCTGGTGTGGGTGACCAGAGTCCTGCCTGGGACACCATATTTTGGAGACACTGGTGCGAGAAAGACCGCTGTGGTTTCTGGAACCCAGAACTGGCAGACCCAGCTGTCTTTTCTGTAAGCTGAGGAGGCCTTGTGCCCCCAGTCTTTCTCCATATCTTCTCATTACACTGGTGGCGATTAACTTCTTGAAAAATGAGACACGATTTCAGAATGCAGCCTCTGGTGTCTTCAGAAAAGAAACTCCACCTTTGACCTTCTGACTGATTTGAGCCATTTCTAGCATTCAAAACCTTCTAGTCCCTGACTGAGGGAAACCTTTCCTATGTGAGTCTCCCAAATGCAAACAGGGTGGCCCAGGTGACAAAGGCCTTGTAAATGTATTTGTCGGCATTGCCACTTTTCTGTGACCTGGGCCTTTGGGAGGCTAGGAAGACAGTGCGGTCAGAGCCATCTGACTCACAGGAAACGCAAGCTTGCCGCAATAAGGAGGTATCCATGGGTGGAGGAGACGGAGAAAAGCAAGAAGGGCAGGAAAAGAACAGCCCCACTCTGGAGGCATTGAATCTGAGGTCCCACAGGCCCAGGGTGGCCTTTGTTGATGTCCCAAGGGCTCTCGTTTGATTCCTACAGCTATAGAAAGGCAGTGTTGAGGGGAGCTCCCTGGACCACTCTGTCAGGGTTGCTGTTGAAGGACTTCATTCTCTCTCCAAAGTTATGGTCATCTGTGCTAAGAACACAGAGATGTGGGTGCTAGCTAGATTGGCTGGAAGATTCAAACCCTTTTCCCTCAGAACACTCCCTCAGAGGCAGCCACACACTCCAGAACCATGAAGGTGAGCAATGTGAGCAGGCGACAGGCCCTTCCGGAGGACCTCTGTTGGCTGCTGGTGGCCTTGCCGGCACCTGAAGCTTGACTGAGCACACAGAAGGCAGAGCAGACAGATATGCAAAGGCATCCTAGCCTCGGCCCCACATTTACTAGTGACATGAGGTGCAGCTTTCACATCAGGACTCTCTGCTGTGGTAGGAGACACCCCCTTATTCTCAGAGATCGCCCAGGACTGGGGTGGGCGCCCTTTCCAGAAGTCCAGGACAGCCTTGCAGCAGAACGGCCAGAGACATCTCATTCCCCGCCCTGCACCCTAGCCCTCTCTCCAGTGTCTAGAACTGTGTTGACGTTAGTGTGTTAGCACAAGGTGGCTGTGGAATGCCACCAGGCAAGCTCCTTAGACTGGTCCTAAAACATCACAAGGTGTCCTGTGACCTGTCTGTTGACAGGTTCAGCACACACAGCACATACTCAGAGACTGCAGCCGTGTGTGTGTGTGTGTGTGTGTGTGTGTGTGTGTGTCCGTCTGTCCCTGAAGCTTGGGACCCTAGGAAAGGATTCTAATAGGGATGAGGCGACCAGGTAAAACATGCAGCCGGGTCAAGCAGCTCAGGAGTTCTCACGGCTGGGCTTCGGCATAGGGATCCCCATTCTCTACACTAATGGAGTCTGGAGACAGGCACTAGGTTTGGGGCAGTATCTGCTCTTTGCTGAGCATATGGGGCACAGTTGGTTCCTACAAGGAGTATCTTCTGGCTGTGTCTAGTCTTTCCTGTGTAGTACAAGCATTGCTTTCCTGGGAAAAATAAAAACACTGATTATTTCCTGGCTGAAGCCAGACCACTAAAAACCAAGAGAGCTCATGGCCCACAGGACTGGCCCCTTACCCTGCCATGGGTGGCCTGCAGCACAGAACCACCATCCTGTACATATTTAACCAAGAGGTCTCTATCCCCACTGGGAGCAGCATCTAGGGCACAGATTTGGATAGACTGTGTTGGGAAGAGGCCTCCCTGGGCAGCCTTTGCCTCCAGCACGTGGCTGCAGACTTCACTGGGAAAGAAAGCTTTTCTAGGGTTCAGGAGTCAGTCTCACCCTCTCGGGATCCCCTCACCCTCCCTGGCCCTGCTCTGAGTGAGAAGAGAAGCCATATGGGGGATCAGAAGCACAGCTGTCCACAGCCCAGTTCTGTCTGGCTTCTGCAGCTGGTCATGTGTCAGAATCCAGCCCAGCCGGGCAAAGCACATCACTGGGTCACGGGTGGCGTCCCCTCCGGAGGGTGGCATGAGCCTTGCGTGGCGCTCACCTAGTCTTCCCTCGCTCTCACTTCTCACTGACTGTCACTTTCCAAACCACACTTTCAGAATTTATTAAAAGAAACATAAAATTCCCAATTGGTTAGAATTCCCAACATTTAGAATATGGCCTCTTGTCAGCTGAGCCAGTCAGAGCCTGTTTGGTGTACCGCACTCCCTTGCCAGTCTGCGCGGGCACACGTGGGCACCTCAGGGTAGCGGGGAGGGGAGGGAAAGAAAGCCCTTTGGGTTGACATATCTCCTCATTCTGTTTTTCAAGTTTGAATTTCCATTTTGGTTCCTAGTCTTTTGGAAATGACATTATAATTTATGAACATGAGTCTACGGCTGGACTCCCAATCCAGAAGGGGAAAGTCCGGTTTCTACCTCTCATTTGTTGGTTTGCTTAGCTTTGTGTCTGGTCACTGAAGCACCCACCCTCTAGGGGGGCTGCTGGGGTAAAATGGCACGGCTCTGTAGACCGGAGTCAAGGACAGCTGCATGGGACAGAAGGATGCAAGGGTGGCTCTCTCTCTTCTGCTGCCAGATGTGTCTGTGAGGTAGAGGATGCAGGTCTGCTGTGGTTCACGAAGTGAAGAAGTACCGCCAGACACCACAAAGCCGTCTTCCTTCCCGGGGCATGTCATGTTAATAGGAGCAGGTGACACACTGCCATCCCAGACTCAAGGAACCCTGTGCCTGCTCCCCCCATATCTGATGTCTCAGAACAGAGGTGGAACTCATGGCTCCCCTGAGCTCTGCCTCCCAAACCAAACTGGAATCCCTAGGAGGACAGGCCTGAAGCCTGCAGCCTGCTAATCCTTTAGGACTGGGCAGACTGGAGCAGGAGACATTTTTACAGAGGCTCTGCTGGGTTTCCTGGCAGAGCACGAAGTCGGCTGTACCTTTCAGGGTCTTAGCTCCCTGCTGGTCACAGCCACGGGCGGCCTGTCTTAGGATGTGTCAGCCCTCACCCTTTCATTACTGGGCGATGGTTTCTCCGCAGAGCAACACCGACTCTGAAGAGGAGCTGTAAAGAACAAACTACATTTGCAGGGAGAGGACACCTTTCAGGTCCCCAGCATATGGGGGTTTCTGTTAGAATAAGGACACTAAGCAAATGACCAAGGACATGTATATTCACTTTGCTCTTGACGGTGGATATGGTGTGACTAGCTGTACGAGTTCTGGCCCTGACTTTTTCAAAACAATAGGCTGTAACCTAGAATTGTGGACC